GGCATAGCTGGAGATTCTGTGAAGGTCGCGGGGTCCAGACGCCCCCCCGGGCCCCGCGAAACTTAAAATGTGGGCGTCCTGGGGGTCCAAAGTAGGTAGGTGCGGTGGTGCACTGGCCCATTCGAAGGACTCTCTGGCTCGAGCACCGCAAAGGAAACAATGACTGTGTTTAATGATGAGCGCACAAAAAGAGATAATTCGCCAAATAAGGAGCTTCGACGGTAGCAAATGGCCTCCCCGTGATGCGCGGTGGGTCCAGTTGGAAGCCCCGGCTCTTTTCCAAATAAGGAGCTTCGACGGTAACAAATGGCCTCCCCGTGATGCGCGGTGGGTCCAGTTGGAGGCCCCGGCTCTTTTCGAGCAGTTCGGTGGGCCCTTTCTGCCCACCCGGGCTACTGGTAATTTAAGCGCCTTTACAGCTTCTTAGGGCCATCTGGACTTCCAACGTCCCACCAGAACACCAAGGGAACCCCGGGACTACTCAGGGGCTCTGACCCCTCAGGGGTCGTACTGACCGCCAGCGGCCCTGTGCATCTAGGGCACATCAGGCCAGTCATAGGCCGTTTTAGTTGTTCAGGGTCCTTCTGGCCGCTGAGGACCCCTTTGGTCACTGGGATCTCCCCAGCCGGTGGTGTTTCTTTCACTCCGACTGTGTGGGGCTGCACCGGCTGCCCAGGGGACCGGCCGCCCAGGGTAACACCGGCCACCAATGGCCGCCTTTAGTTATTCAGAGCTCATTCAGGTCACGTAAGTGAGTGGAGAAGTGACGTCAATGCTCATACGGCTATTGACGATCCGCTGGCCGTGCAGCGGCCTGTCTAGTCGCCTGAAGCCTGAAACATTTAGCTGAATCACCGCGGCCCTCTGACACTTGGGGTCCTATTAGCTCTTCAGGTCTTTTGGCCGCTCGAGACCTTCTTACCGACCAAGGCCCTCCGGACAGCGCGTGGGCCCATAGGGCCCACACGCGGTGCACTGGGAAAAGGCGTTCCCCCGTGTCGTCAGGGGCCGTATTGGTGCCCGCTCGTAGGGGTTCTAAGGGTTGACCATTGGACGCATTAAAAACGTGAGCCTCTGTGGGGCGGGCCCTTCGTGTGACAGGGCGCTCGAATGCCAGCCAGCGGGCCTCCTGCGCCGATGAATACTCCTGCTCCCGTGTTATGAATACTAAACAGGATGCGATGTGCAGTCGTGGAAACAATAGATGGAAGCCCACCCAGAAAGGCCGCAGAGTCCCACCTTCGGCCCATCCCCAGGAACCAATCCCACAGAGGCCACGGTACGAAGTACCCCCGAGGTCATTCCCCGTGCTCCACATCGCACGCGCCCTGGTCCGTTGGAGGACACGTTCGCTTCCTCGCGAGTGTGCGGCACTCGGCTGCGCTACCTAGAATGCCTGGTGCGGCTGCCTCCGCCACCTAGCGGCCGGCCGCGGCTCCAGTGCAGGCGTAGCCGAAAAGCCGGGTGACGGCCCGCCTGGCGACAGGTCTCCGAACCAACCACCCCGAGGTGTCGGGTGCAGCCGGGCCCGCGCCATACACGACGGACAGCAGCCGCGCCCCCTTTCCGCCTGTGCGCACAATGCCGTTTCGCGAGCGGCATGCGAATCCTGCACCGCAGCGAGTGAAATACTTAACAAAACTTTCGCCACTTAATCTGCTGTTGGACTGGATAAGCGCGATCGGATGGAAGGGGCTGGGGCTCACACAACAAACACTGCTCAGCGTGAGCTGTGATTCCAAAAATCCAGCCATGTAGATGCATTAGATAGCATCTTAAAAAGAAAGAAAATCAGATCGTTATCAAATATGTAAAAATATGATCGTTATCGTTATGTTTCTCTCTTTCGAAATAAGTTGGTCTAGGGCCAAGGTATTCTGAATCGGGAAGGGTTGGCCTGTTCCACGCTAAAATGGGCCCCAATGGCTTGGGGCAATGGGCCCTGGATCCCCTTCCATACACATACTTTCGGAGAGCGATCTCCAGCCATCATCAGGGGTCACAGAGGCCCGTGCGCTTCACAAATGGAAAACGCGAGATGTGCTAAGGAAACGTAGTCTTAGTTCAATATTTCGACGCTAGATGACTATAGTAGTGCTCCCTTTCACTGCAGATCACCTCCATTCTTCACGCGTCGCCTTGCCAAACAAACAGCATCGATGACTTTCTGAGGACTAGATCGGAGACCATCGGGAGCCAGCTAATGCCTGTCACGTGAGAGTCAATGGGATGCAGACGATTAATGTTGGGTCGGTCGCGAACGATCGCTAGGGAGGCTTATGAACCGATAAACGAATAACGCCCAACCTAATGACCCGTTCAAACGTAATTACTGTTTTCGTAAAGTGAGGCTATCGATCGGCTCTGGTTGCGGCAACACTACGACGGTGCTTGGTAGGGTCTGGTTAGGACTTTGCAGTGCTCCTCGGCGCTTTTTCACAAGGCGGGCCTCTTCCACGCCCCGCGCCGCGCGAAAACCGCGATCAGAGATGTCCCTGTCGGCGTGTCCGGCGCGGCGTGGGGCCTGCAGGAGCGGCGGTGACTGTCCGGTGGCGCTTCGTGCTCGGTGCGCTCGGACCGGTGGCGCTCGCCGGTGGCCCCCGCCGGTGGCGCTCGCCGGTGGCCCCCGTCGGTGGCGCCCGCCGTTGTCCCCCGCCGGTGGCCCCCGCCGGTGACGCGCGGCGCGAGCGTGCTCGTGTAAGCGCCGCGCGATTCCGGCGATGCGCCGGGCGCGCGCTCCTGTGCCGCTGCAGTTCGCGGGAATCCGCGCGGTGCAGGGGGCAAGATCGGTGCGCTCGGCGTTTCCGGACTTGGCAAAATCAAAGGCGCGACCTGTCTGGGGGCTGCAAGAGACGGGCGCCGACCGGCTGCCAGCCGTCGGCCCGCCAGCCTGGCTGCTGATCGGCGGATTGGACGCCAAATCGTGCAGCCGTGTGGTAACGCCTGCAACCCGGGTCCTTTTACAGGCCCGGCCAGTCATTTCTTGATTCCCATCACTTTACATCGCCGGGCTGGGCAGCTGGCACTGAGCACCGTTGCTCCGTTCTCTGAACTCAATCATCTTCCAGAATCACCGCTCTGTTGTGACTTACCACGCCGGCGATGGAATCCAGCCTGGAGCCGTCGGCATAACTGACATTCCACGCCGGATTTCGACTTCCCTGACAGGTTGAGCTTTGCCGCAGTGACCACGACGCTTTGCTGGGAGGCTGCAAGGTCTTGCACCGGAGTTTCTCACAGCTGACAGCGCGTGGCGCCGCACCGCCTGCTCCTCCACCCCGTCCCGACTGTCCCCCACGGATCGCCCACCGCCCGCTGGCTGTTCAGTCCGTTGGCGGCGTTTTCCACGACAGCCGTTGCCTTCCTCCGCGCCACGAACTCACGATCCGCCAGTCGTTGCCCTCGTGACCGCGGTGCAGCTCCGAAGACCACCAAAACCCTGCCGTGCTCGGCGTTATGTAACCACGGCGCGGTTCGCCGTGTTTCGGCCAGCATCGCCGCGCCGCCACTTCCGCTGACATCGGCGCAACTCTCCCCACGTGCGTGGCGGCATTTTCACCAGCGGCCGGAATGTACGACAACAGACCCAGCCGCGCCACGCGACGACGGGCGTCGACGCCGGTGCGCGACACCGCCCGGGGGCTGGGGCGGCGTGTCTGGTGCCCCCCCCCCCCTCTCGAGACAGCCCCGTCTCGCCGACCGGGGCCGACGTCCGCCCAGCCGGCAAGGCATGATTCAGCAGGCCGGCTCGGGACTCCGGACATGACCCGCGCGCTCGTAAATCACGGGGCGCTGATTATTTTCATCCGACGCTCGCCGGCCCCGAAGACGGATGACCGTCGCCGGCGGCAGCAACGCCGAGTACGGTTCATCGCCGTCTCGGTTTAGTGCCGGCCGGGAGAGCGCTGCCAACTGGGCGGCGGATCGTGCGCGCCCGCTCTGGGCACGGGTACCGGCTCTTTTTGAGAGCCGGTGCGTGCAGGCGAGCTTTGCGGTGGGAAGAAGAAAAAAGAGATGTCAGAGGATGGCATCACCACCGGCAAACTTCTCGACGCCAATGAATGTTAGCCGTACAGGCTGGCGCACTTCCCAAAATGGTTTCGGGCAGTAGTCTTGGACGCAACATGTTGGCCTCCTTCAGACTGATATTTCCGTGAGCCATCAGCGAACCATCCTAAAAAAAATGTAAAATTGTTGTGGCCTGTGGTCCAACCGAAACGTGGTGACGACCCTCCCGCAAACCTGTGACCGGCCCTGTGCTCTTCCCCGTGCCAGGTCTACAGCAGCGCTCAGCACAAGGATCTTTGAGGAAGCGCGGTCGACGGAGGTCAGTCGGCGGCTGCCGGCAGGAGCGCGGGCCGCACCTCCCGCCGCGCTCCGGTTTGTTTTGGCGGCGGGCGGCGGGCGGCAGGCGCCGACCGAGCCGGCGCCTGCCGCTCACCTTGCCGGCGGCGACGACGGTGTCACGGTGTTCGTGAGGCTGCTCGTCCTGATCTGAGTTTACAACGCGCGTTTGTTGCAAACCGCCTGCTGCGCGTTGCTGCGCTGCCGAAGCGACGCCGTGCAATTGGCCGGCGGATGGAGGTCAGCGGCCAATCAGCTTCGGAGCTGAATGTGAACTGGTCATCGCACGCGACATTCCGGCATCGCAGCAGCCCGTGACAGGTGGTTTGAGACCGCGCCCTTATGTGACCCCTGCCTGACGCGGCGCGCGCCCGTCCCGACCTGACCGGACTCCGCCGACCCCGGCGCGACACAACAACAGATCCAGCTGCGCCCTAGTCCCGCAGCCGCGCCAGACCTGTACCATATAAGGCAACGTTGTGACGGCCGCCGTACCGGGCATGACGTAGCGCAGCGCGCGCCGATTGGCGGAGAGCCGGCCGCGACATGACGTCACTGACGGTCGATTGGTCGCCGCCGGCAGTGCACGTGAGCCCCGCTGGAGCCGGACGGCACTGCCGCGGCCGGCATTTGAGTTGTACGCGCCGGAGGGGAGTTGTGGGTCCCGAACCCGACAGCGGGCTGCAGCGTGGAATGGTGCCGCGTGAGGTGCTGTCCGAACGCTTCTGTGGAATGCTGTGATCAGAGACCCGACCGCGTCGGGGCGAGGTGTTCTGGCCCGTCCTCGCGAAGCGCCAGTGTGGCACGTTGTGAGCTGACACCCGGGAGCTCCCGTGTTGGATGTTGTGACCTGACGTCAGAGAGCGCCGGTGTTGGATGTTGTGACCTGACATCTGAGGGCGCGTGCGTGGAATGCTGTGACCCGCCCGCCGGAACACCTCGCTGGGTTCGGCTGCGCGTCGCCATGGATGTGTACCCGAGCGGCAACATCTTCCAGGAGCTGAAGCTGGTCCTAGACAAGGGCTGCTTCCTCTCCTCCTGCTCGCTGGAGGAGCGCTGGCAACAGGTGGGTCTGGCGCCGCCGGCTCCGGAGATGCTGCAGCAGGAGCGCGGCGCATCTGTATTCATGGCCGCGTCCCTCTGCGATCGCCCCTCCCGCCCGCCAGCCCACACAATGCACACATGGCGGCTGGGATCACCTCGGGAGCTGCCCGCCGGCCGCAGCAGCCGGGCACCTCGGCGTCCCCAGTTCTGGGTTCGCGCGGGAGGAGACCTGGAACTGGCGTCCGCGAGGGGAGAGCGCGACAGCGGCTCGCGGCTTTTGTCCGTGTCGTGGGCTTGGATCTTTTCTGAAATAGTTGGCGAATTGTCGGCAATCAAGGAAGGTTAACAAGCGCGATCAGTGCGAGGTTGATCTCTGGTAAAACATCTGGTTCCCGTCCTTGCCGGTGAGAATCTCTCGCGCTCATGAAGTGCCAAATTTGGCGCTGAAGGACCTCGTCTGCCCGCCCAGACACCACGCGTGTGCCCAGCACGTGCGTGCTGTTCACTTGCACGCGGGTAGAATTCGTACGCGCGTTCCGTGCCCATGTATGCACGTGTGACATGCGCACGCGCTCACGGGTCTTGCGCACGCGCACACCTGTGACTACGCACGCACACACGTGTAGCCCACGCACGTGCGGCGCCGCGGTCTCCACATGTGGCTGCGCGGCTGTATGACCTTATCGATCCACGTCGGTCCATCCGGAGACATCCTGTCCGGTCCTGGGATGCCCTGTCCAGTCCTGGGATCCCCTGTCCAGTCCTGGGATGGCTGACCGGTGCCGGTGATGGTCATCTGGTGGGATGGCTGACCGGCGCCGGTGACGATCGTCTCCTGGTGTGGATGGCTGACCGGTGCCGGTGATGATCGTCTCCTGGTGGGATGGCTGAACGGTGCCGGTGATGATCGTCTCCTGGTGGGGATGGCTGACCGGTGCCGGTGATGGTCATCTGGTGGGGATGGCTGACCGGTGCCGGTGACGATCGTCTCCTGGTGGGATGGCTGACCGGCGCCGGTGATGATCGTCTCCTGGTGGGGATGGCTGACCGGTGCCGGTGATGATCGTCTCCTGGTGGGATGGCTGACCGGTGCCGGTGATGATCGTCTCCTGGTGGGGATGGCTGACCGGTGCCGGTGACGATCGTCTCCTGGTGTGGATGGCTGACCGGCGCCGGTGATGATCGTCTCCTGGTGTGGATGGCTGACCGGTGCCGGTGATGATCGTCTCCTGGTGGGATGGCTGACCGGCGCCGGTGATGATCGTCTCCTGGTGTGGATGGCTGACCGGTGCCGGTGACGATCGTCTCCTGGTGTGGATGGCTGACCGGCGCCGGTGACGATCGTCTCCTGGTGTGGATGGCTGACCGGCGCCGGTGATGATCGTCTCCTGGTGTGGATGGCTGACCGGTGCCGGTGACGATCGTCTCCTGGTGTGGATGGCTGACCGGTGCCGGTGACGATCGTCTCCTGGTGGGGGTGGCTGACCGGTGCCGGTGACGATCGTCTCCTGGTGTGGATGGCTGACCGGTGCCGGTGACGATCGTCTCCTGGTGTGGATGGCTGACCGGCGCCGGTGATGATCGTCTCCTGGTGTGGATGGCTGACCGGTGCCGGTGACGATCGTCTCCTGGTGTGGATGGCTGACCGGTGCCGGTGATGATCGTCTCCTGGTGGAGATGGCTGACCGGTGCCGGTGACGATCGTCTCCTGACGAGGGAGGCATTCCGGCGCAGCTTGTGGGATTTTCGGAGCAGCTCACAGAGTACCGGTGGCACGCCCCCTCCCTGCCTGAGTCCGGCGAACCTGCCGCTCGCGACCGTATGTGCCAACAGCCCTGCGTTTGGCACCAACAGGACGCTGCATGCAGGGCTGCTCTGCAGGTGATCCGGCGGGGCGATGTGGGTTGCCACGGCAACGGGCATCGCCACCCACGCCGGCCCGTTCGGTCGCACAGTATCTGGATCACTACGGGCATTCAGCCGGCCCCGGTGGCAGCCGCCGCTCCGGGGCGGCGGTCATTACAGCGGAGAATGGCGCCGGCGGACCCGCTGGTCGGCTGTTACAATTTCAAACGGGGCACGTGGGGGGACTCCCGCCATTTTCCGGGGGCGCGCGCTGCCGTTTCCGGGGAGATGGCGGCCGGCCGGCGCGCCCGCGCGCGCCGTGTTCCCGGCCCGCCGCCGGCCTGCGCTCGTGAAATGTCACGGGAGACGTTGCCTCGTCCGGCCCGGGCGCCCGTATTGACCGCGACGGCCGCCTCTCTAGCGCGTCCCGACGTGGCCACGCGCGGCCGAACGGCGCCGTGGGAAACGCTGTCGGCAGCGCGGCGGCGGCGCTGGTTATTTCGGAGCGTTCCGCACCGGGGACGCCGCGCGCGCCTGACCTTGAGGGCGGCGAAAGTGGTGGCAGCGACGCCGACCGCCGGGAGCAGGGACCCCGCGCCGCTTCCTGGCCGCCGCCGGCGTGTCCTCCCGGGCGCCGGCGGCCGACACCAGATGCCGGCCGCGTGGCGCCGCGGTCCGCCACCTGGCCGGGGTACGTCAGCCGCCGCTGGGCGTGGCAGAAGCCGCACCTGTGAGCTGGGCGCAGACCAAGACGGCTTTTGAGTGCGGTTTTTTGGAGCGATCGTGACCGGCGCCGTAGACTTGTTGGACCTGGGCGTCATCCGCGCGTGTATTGCAGCCGCCGACGTCTGCCGCGGCGTTTGAAGGACAGCGTGCTTCAGGGGCTAGCAGTCCTGGTGTACTGCAGACTGTAAGGTGTATCGATCCTTTTCCCGGCGCCTCGGGAGGCCCCTAGCGCTGCAGGCGGGCGGACGAACATCCCGGGTGGAAACAAGGAGCCAGGCATCCAGTGAGGGCGGAGCTGGGTTCTTTCCGTCCTCGGGTGGCCCGCTGCCGGGCCTGACACAGTCTGCGTAAACTCGCACGTGTACCTACCTCGGATTCATGCGGTGCGCTAAAGGCTGATCTCTTCTGGCCCTGACGAAGATTACGGTTGAACACAGATGCGCTGCCTAATTAGGAAGCAGTGAATGGCTTAAGCAGATTGGAGCGTTCCGACGCATTGCTGCATATGTTAAGGGTCCTTCATTGATGGGTAGAGCTGCACGCACATGCTTAAATGCTTAATAACTGCGTAGTTTACACTGCAAATCACACCATTGTGCGCTCACCTTCACAGTCATTTAAGTGGTTCACAGCCCCTATCACCGGGAAGTCGTTGACCACCTGTGCCTGTACGTGTTGTTTTTGGTCATACATCAATGCTGTCATATACGGTTTTCCGTCCCCTGGGGTTTACCCTCCTGAAATATCTCTTTAAAAAAAAGATATAAAAAGTGTTTTGTCTCGGCCTGCCTTTAGATCAGCCTCCGACGCCGTCTGGGACTGGTGGTCCCGTCTGGTCCCATGGTGGTCCCAGACTCCATACTCCAGACTCGGCGCCGTCTCCGGGTCCGGCTGATCACTGTCTCGGAGCCCGACTCCCGTGCCGCCCGGGGCCCGGCTCCGTGCAGGTCCGCAGACGGGCGGGACCGCCGTGCCGCCCGCGCCCGGCGGTCGGCTCGCCTCATGCCACAGAGCGGCGCCGCGGCGCGTGTCCGCCGCCGGAGTGGCGTCTCAATGGGAGGAGCCGGCCGGGCGGGCCGTTTTTGCGCGGGGCGCCGCCGCTCTGAGGGACGAGCCGGGCGCCCCCCCCCCACACACACACCTGTCCGGTGCGGGGGCCGGCGGGAGAGCGCGGAGCACAGCCAGCCGCGCACCTGTTCACCGACGGGCCCCGCCGACCGCCGTCGTCTGTTCTCGGCAGCTGTCGCGGGCTGCTCACGCTGAGCCGTGCGCGGAGCGGCCCGCTTGCAGCCATGTGTAATTGTCGGCTGGGCACGCGGCGGCGTGCGCTCGGTACCTGCAGGCGTCACGCCAGGCTCGGCGGCGGCGCCCCCCCCCCCCCCCCCCCCCCCTCCTCGCTCTGCCGCCCGCACCCCCCTCTGCCTGCGTCTGGCCGCGGCCAGGCGGCCGCCAGGCGACGGTGATGTGGCCCCCGACGGTGGGAAACACTGGGGATGCCCGACTCGGCTTGGGGCGGCGCCACCCGTCCCCGCCGCCTCCCCTGACCGTCGCGGTGGCGTGACGCCCCGCCAAACTGGGTCAGGCGAGCAGCCCACCACTCCGCTCCCCCTCCCCTCCCGGTCTCGCCCCTGGAACGCGGTCTGGCCCGGGCCGCGACCGCCCCGCCGGCGCCAGCACTGTCTGGCGCGCGGACTGGTGAAGCGCCGCAATCGATACGCAGAATTCGGTCTGTTGTTTGGGGCTGGCTAGGCGGAGTGCTGCAGCTCCCGGAGACAGCTGTGTGGCGGCGCCCCCCCCCCCCCTCCCACCATGCCCCCGAGGGGAAGTCTGGGCAGGACGTGATCGTCTGGCCCAGCCCTTGCAGGGACAACCTCCGAGGCGCTGTAGTGTCTCTGACGGAATGAGCATGAGGGTGTGAACTGTTGGTCTGACCTCGACCGTTAGCTCCAAGTAGCTCAAGCGCTCGTTGGTGCTCAAACGCAAATACACAAAAAACGTCACGCACAGCGGGCGGTAAGCTGTTGGGTTGGCGTTTTTTCTTGCTGTTACCCCGTCTGCGCAGGGCCGAGCGCGGTGTACGCTTGGCCGGCCGGGCGTGACGCCGCGCCGCAGCAGCGCCGGAAGCCCAGTGGCGCCGAGCCTTTGAGGCACCGTCCGCGCCTTTTTCGCTGCGGCCTCGAGCGCGCCAGAAAACGGCGGAGCCCGGCTCCGCTAACTCCGAGGCGGGCCGCGAGCGCCCAGCTCGTCAGGGTGCCCGTCCGCGTGTCATGTTTTGGCCGCCAGCAGCCAGCGTCGCCCGGTCTGAATTCTTAAGTCAACGGCTTCAATCCAATAAGATGGGATGGCGGGCCCTCGGGTGGATGCGTCACCTGAGAATTGAACTTCCGGGAGCTGGTGTACCTGAGCTCAATAATTCAGCGGGCCGGCCGCAGCCGCCGGCGTAATTGCTAG